TCTGTAGAGCAATTTAGGAATTACAGACTATTGTATTAATAAATAACACTAAATAATACTCTTTCTAAAAAGTTAGATTTAAGGGATAATCAGGCAAGCATACAAAAATGGTGTTCATGACAGCATTGCTTTTAAAAGTTAATAATTGATCCAGCAATCCTACTTCTGGGTATACATACGTGTATATACATACCCAGAAGTATACATATACAGGTACGTGTACATGTATATACATGTATATATTGGGACTTCCCTGGTGGCACAGTGGTTAAGAATCCGCCTGCCAACGCAGGAGACACGGGTTCAATTCCTGGTCCGGAAAGATCCCACATGCCACGGAGCAACTAAGCCTGTGTGCCACAGCTACTGAGCCTGCGCTCAAGAGCCTGTAAGCCACAACTACTGAGCCCTCGTGCCACAGCTACTGAAGCCTGCGTGCCTAGAGCCCGTGCTCCGCAACAAGAGAAGCCACCATAACGAGAAGCCTGAACACCACAACGAAGAGTAGCCCCTGCTCGCCGCAACTAGAGAAAGCCCATGCACAGCAAAGGAGACCCAACGCAGCCAAAAATAAGTAAATAATACATGTATATATACATATAGATATATAGATATATAGATACCCAGAAGTATACATACGTATATACATATATCCGAAAGAACACCTATATCCAAAAGAACTAAAAACTTATCTTGAAGAGATATACGCACCCATTCACTGCATTATTCACAATAGCCAAGAAGTGGAAGCAACCTAAATGTTCACTGGCAGATGAATGGATAAATAAAATATGGTGTATACAAACAATGGAATATTAATTAAGCCTTAAAAAAAAAAGGAAGTCCTGTCATATGCCACAATATGAATGAACAATGAGGGCATGACACTAAGTGAAATACCCCAGTCACCGAAGGACAAATACTACATGATTCCATTTATATGCGGCATCTAAAGTCAAACTCTTAGAAACAGAAAGTAGAATGGTGGTTGCCAGGGGCTGCAGGAGGCAGGAAAAGAAGAGTTGTTGATCAACGAGTACAGAGTCTCAGTTTTGCAAGATGAAAAAGTTCCAGAGGGCTTCCCTGGTGGCGCGGTGGTTGGGAGTCCGCCTGCCGATGCAGGGAACGCGGGTTCGTGCCCCGGTCCGGGAGAGTCCCGCGTGCCGCGGAGCGGCTGGGCCCGTGAGCCATGGCCGCTGGGCCTGCGCGTCCGGAGCCTGTGCTCCGCGACGGAAAAGGCCACAGCGGTGAGAGGCCCGCATACCGCACCAGAGATCTGTTGCATGACAAGGTGCATATACTTAACACTACTGTTCTGCACGCTTACAATTGGTTAAGATGGTAAAGTTTATATATTTTTTACCACAATCAAAAAAGAAGTTAATCAAAAATAATGTAAATATCCATCAGCTAGGAACTGGTTATGTTAGAAACATACAATGTAATACCAGAGAGCCATCAAAACTGATATTGAGGACTTCCCTGGTGGCACAGTGGTTAAGAATCCGCCTGCCAATGCAGGCCCGTGCGCCACAACTACTAAGCCTGAGCTCTAGAGCCCGCATGCCACAACTATTAAAGCCTGCACGCCTAGAGCCCGTGCTCTGCAACAAAAGAAGCCACCGCAATGAGAAGCCTGCGCACTGCAACGAAGAGCAGCCCCCACTCACCGCAACTAGAGAAAGCCTGCACGCAGCAACGAAGACCCAACGCTGCTAAAAATAAATAAATAAATTTATTTTTTAAAAAGCTACTGATTTTCAGTCATATCCACAGCCTATTTTTGAGTCAAAAAACAGTTTACAAAAAGAGCAAAGTAGGGGACTTCCCTGGTGGTCCAGCGGTTAAGACTCCACACTCACAATGCAGGGGACCCGGGTTCAATCCCTGGTCAGGGAACTAGATCCTGCAGGATGAAATGAAGATCCCTCACAAGGCAACGAAGATCCTGAATGCTGCAACTAAGACCCAGCGCAGCCAAATAAATAAATAAATAAATATTTTTTTAAAAAAAGAGCAAAGTAGTATTATACTATTCATACGCATGTCTGTACCTATTAGAGATCTGTAAAGATATTCAGCAAGATTTAATAGTCGTATCTCTAACAGGAATACAGATTACTTTCTTTTTTATATTTTCCTGTATTTTTAAATACAATGAGTATGTATTATGTGATGTGAAAGGATAGCTCAAAAGAGTAAGTGACTGCTACCACTGGTTCCAGAATCCTAGGATGGAATTTCACATTTCTCACTATATGCCTGGCACATATTGGGGGATCAATAAATATTTGAGAGGCAGAAATCAGCAGTGGTTAAGAGCTCAGCAATGAGACAGATCTGGATATGAATCTCAGCTCCATAATTTTCTAATCAAGGCCTTAAAGTCTCATTCAGGGTGGGGAGGGATAAACTGGGAGATCAGGATTGACATACACACCACTATATATAAAATAGATAACTAATAAGGACCTACTGTATAGCACAGGGAACTCTATTAAATACTCTGTAATGACCTATATGGGGAAAGAACCTAAAAAAGAGTGGATATATGTATATGTATGACTGATTCACTGTGCTATACAGTAGAAATGAACACAACATTTTAAATCAACTGTACCACAATAAAATTTTTTTTAAGTCTTATTGAACTTCACTGAACTCCAACTTCTTCAAGTATAAAACATCACAGAACAATACTTGCCCATTGCTGAAGAGAACATGTACTGAAAGCACTTAACACCATTCCTGGCTCAGAGGAAACACTCAATAAAATGATGGCCATTACTATTTATTGACTTGATTTACACTAGAAGCCCTCACAACAAAAAAATAAGCATTTATATAAGACTCTTCTGCTTAATTGTATGAAATTCCCAGCTGCATTAAAAAGCAAGAGTCAACACTTTCTTTGGTGGAACCAGAACACTGTGGCTGAAAGGTATGATTACATTCCTATATCTAGAAGGATTACAACATAAAATTTACCATGTAGTTAATGCATAAACACAACTCATGAGTATAGGACACAGACTTATTAGTGCTTCAATTAAAAAAAAATAAAGAAAATATGCTTATTTCAGTCCACAAGTAGAATGGAAAAAGTAACTACAAAACATGACTAATGAAGATTTGACTTAGTTTAGAGAGAGATTAGAAGAACAAGTAACACTACGATTCATTTTGTTTGGCCTGTTTTCCTCACTACTTTTGGACGAGGAGCCTGTCTTTTTGGCACTGCTCTCCCCGCAAAGTCTGGCATAGTGCCTAATACAGTATAAGTGCTCAATAAATACTTACAAGATGATTTCTAAGAGAAAGTCTTAGTGAAACCGCGGGGAAAATTGAGTTAGAATTTATCTGAGAAAGTCTCGGTCAAAATGATAGGAAAATAAGTTTAAAATGAGAGCCATCAGGTTTGGGGAGGTAAGGCTTTTCCTGATAACACCTTCTGCATCTCTTTTGTTCAATGAGTTTCCCAAACAACCTCAAACGGAACGTCCAACAGTAAAAACACACTCAACTTTGTCCACCGACAGGGGGGGCATAAACCAGGGCCTAACGTGCTAAGCTTATTAGGCTTTTGGCTCCAACGTCTTTCTAATGATCTGTATTCATCGGTGTACTATAGTTGGCACCCTATCGACACTTGTTTAATGTATGCTTTACCAAAAAAAAAAAAAGAATGGAACGATTCTCATCAATCATGAGCCCTTCTGTAGCGTTTCTCCTTCGAACCAGACTTTAGAAGTTGGTTTGTAAGAGTGGGAGGAGTTAGCTCAGAACTTCTGAGCCGGTTCTTTTTAGTCAAACTGAAGACGTGAAGGTTTTAGAGGCACTCTCCATAAATATATGGGTGCCATCTAATCCTGAGCAACTCAAAAGACAAAAAAAGTGAGACTCGGGGAGTGAAGAGTGCGGTGGAGCATGGCATTCTGGACTTGGGAACTACCCTCCCCCAATCCCATTTCACCCACTCTTAATTAAAATGCAATTAAATTCCATTCAGCTATCTCTCACGTAAGAAACTACCAACTTGCCCGCCACGCCACTCCCAGACGGCCACACCTGGTGTATTCGCTGCAGAATCTCCAACTCCCGCCACAGGTTTGGCCTGTGTCTGCCGCAAAGCGGAAGTCACTTCAAAGAGACAAACTGAAAGCAAGAGAGTGTAAATACCAGGAATCTAAAACTCCTACGGCGTTCTTAGAAAACTCTTCCTCGACTACCTTTCGCTTCTAACCCTTCTCTCTTCTGCTAGGTTGGTGAAAAGGCTTCACCACAGCCCTGCGACTACTTCCCCGCCCCAAACTCCAAATCATTCAAAAGTTTGTCCTTTCTCATTGGCCAATGAGGCGGCGTGGGTACCTCCCAAGAACTACAATTCCCGTCAGGCCTCGCGGGAAGCAAACGGATAAGCTGAAATGGGCGGAGGCACAGCACGCTGGGAACTGCAGTCGGCTGCAAGCCGAAGAGGGCAATCACCCCGCCTTTCCTCGCTGAGGCTGGAGAACCAGGTGTTCGGCTTAGAGCCTGTTACTGCTGAGGGGAGGAGCCAAGTCCTTAAGCAGCAGTCCCCACTTCCCACCACATGGAGGACGAAAATTTTCCTTTACTCCTATAAAGCAATATAAATACTCCTTGAAAAAATATGTTTGTCTTTCCCATACCTCCAGGTCAGTAAAAACTTCCAGAACTCCCCCACCTCGGGCTCCGACTCGTGGGAAAAGGTGGCTCTTTTACAAGTGGGCAAAATGGCTGTCCTCTTAGGTTTATCATTGGTTGTCCTTTGCGTCCTTCAAGGGCGGATACTTACAGCCGATTGGCTCTTTTTCCCTTGTGGGTGGAGAAAGACTTGGCTTGGCTCTCCCGCGGCCCGGGAGGAGATAAAGGGGTGGAGAGAAGGCAGTTTGTTCAGGCGTGATTGGATGATCCTCATGTCATTCCAAGGATGTACAATCTATGATTTGTCTACTGTCCCTCAAAGAGAACGAAGAGGCGGGGCTAGTGCGTGGTGGGAAGGGGCGGGATTTTGCCAGCCGTGGCTGCCGCTGGAGCCGGTGTCCGGGCTGGTGATGGGGTTAATTCCCTTTCGTAAGACTCTTACTTGCACCCACCCAGCCCCGCCGTCGCCCCGCCGCGCCGCGCTCCAACCGCCTCCTCCTCCTCCTCCTCCTCAGTAACGCGGGTAAGAGATGCCCTCCCTTCCCCCCTCCAGCTCCCCGGGAATAACGCGCTTCGCTCCCCTCCCCCGCCCGCCAACCGGTAGCGCTAACGGAGAAGGAGGCAGGCAGGGGAGAAGATGTGGTGTGTGCGAAGGTGGCCTTCCCCGCCGAGGTGCTGCGGCTGCCAGCCTCGCCGGGAGGTCGGGTTCCGAGGGAGCCCCGGCTCGCCTGGCCCGCCGCTGCGGCTGCGACTGCGACTGCATCTGCATCCAGTACCTTGTGCCCACCGCCCCCACCCGGGGGCCATGTGAAAAGCAAACCCCTCGAGGCCTAGCGGAGGAGGCAGGGGAAAGGTTCCCAAGTCCCTGCCATGGCTGCTGCTGCTTGCTTTTGCAGCCCTAGGGACTCGGGAACCAGCCACAGCAGGCCTGCCCGGAGCGGGTGCCGTGCGTGGCTCTGCTCTCCCGGGTGGCTGGCGCCGGTGCCTCAGGCTTCCCGGCCCACCCCACGGCCGTCACCCCCGGCCTTGCACCCCGAGAATTTTTAGAAAGGAAGTAAGGCATTCCGACCGTTTGGTGAAATGTTAGGTGGTGCATTTTGCGTGTGGTACCAGAAAAAGCACAATGGGAATATTACAAAGAAAGTTGAATGACTGTCAGTGCCACGGACTTTGGGGATCAGATTTACACACATTATGGGTGAGCCTTAGGCTCTGCCCCCCAGATTCCTGTGTGATTGAAGTTTTTCGTCGCTCTCTTTTTGTTGCTAGGTGCAGAGGAGAGTGCCTCTGCTCTTATGCAGAAACAAACTGTTGAGGCCATCAGGTCCCGCGTATAATTGGGGTAGCAAGTCAACTAAGTAAAAGACAAAGAGAGCTTAGTAAATAGCAGGTGATTTTTCTAATATGATTTTCCTGAAAAAAAAAACTGTGTGTTTATATATATGTGTATATTTGTATATATGTATATGCATGTATGTATATATCTCTCTCTGAGGTTATGGTTTGCCTGATTGTAATTCTGAAGAAACCCTCTGCTTTTAGCCTAAATGTCTATGATTACAAGAGCTTTGGAATAATGAAAAGATGGTTAAAGTCAAACTGGCAGCCCACCTACTTGTAATATTTGAAACAGTAAAATCTGAGTAATATTTAACATAGTAGGGTACCAGTGTGACTAGGTTAATTGGACACACCTCAGCTTAACAGAATTTGACATATTTGGCCATATTTGAGAGGGAATGCTAACAAAATTTGACATATTTGGCCATATTTGAAAGGGAATGCTTCTTTCTCATGCGTTGATTGAGTGCTCCTCTTTTCAGCCCTTGCTTTTTTGTGGGGGGTGAATATGTTCTTAAATAATGGATTCTGTAATTTGTGGTAGACATGTCTGTAATCAGAGGTAAAACCCTGGGCCCAGTCCTGAGGCTTACTTGTTACCAGAATAAACTTGGGTTCTGAAGAAATAGCTGAGTTTTGACTAAGCATTGGACCATTTCTTCAGGGTCTGAGAAGACTATAATGGCTTAATAATCTTCCATATTCCATAACTAATATACCTAGATAGAGAATTGACATAGATCCACAGATTCAGGACCTGAAAAAAATTTGGATGGTGTGTTAGAATTAAAAAATGAAACCCTGAGTATAACCCTGAAGGGTGAGTCCCCTCAGCTCCCCCCAAAAAGTACCCATAGCATACATTACTCAGCATAGCATTTTCTAAAACTTGTTGGGTAATTGATAAATTACTATAATGCTTTCAGATCTCATGTGCCTTATGTACAGAAAGGGCTGATGAAAATGTAGGAGGCTTCTGTATTCTCTTATTAGCTGCAGGACCCCTCTATGAGCCTCAGTTCAGTTTCCTCATCTATAGAATGGGGGTGGTTATGCTTAACTCACGGAGTTGTGAGGATTAGAGATGAAGTATGTAAAGCCTCTCACATTGTGCCTAACACATAGTATGTATCAATATGTTAAATATTAACTATTGTTATTTTCACACATTAAGAGAATGAGTTTGTTTCTCAAACGCACACGGTATTGTTGGAGCCTCAGAACATGTTCTGTTAGTGAGGAGTACTGTGGGGATTTTCGTTTATGTTGTGACTTTAAGTGCAGTTTGTAATTAGCCATTTTCAAAGGGAAAGGTTTGTGAGAAATTTGTCATCAGGTACAAAAGAGTTATTTATTTTACAGGAGATTTTTTTAAAATAATTTTTTGGAAACATCTAGTCTTTGTTGTTTTATTTATTTTTATTATTATTATTATTTTTTGGCTGTTGGGTTTTGTTGCTGTGCACAGGCTTCCTCTAGTTGCATCGAACCAGGGCTACTCTTCATTGCTGTGCGCGGGCTTCTCATTGCGGTGGCTTCTCTTGTTGCATAGCATGGACTCTAGGCGCACAGGCTTCAGTAGTTGTGGCTCGTGGGCTCTAGGGTGCAGGCTCAGTAGTTGTGGCGCATGGGCTTAGTTGCTCCGTGGCATGTGGGATCTTCCCGGACCAGGGCTCAAACCTGTGTCCCCTGCATTGGCAGGCAGATTCTTAACCACTGCGCCACCAATGAAGTCCCTGTAGGAGATTTTTTTATTTTCCAGTAAAATGCAGGTGTTTGTTGACTATTTCAAATGGATTATCTGGAATAAAAGTATGTGGTAAATTATTTTAGTGATAAATCATTATAATATCTTTTAAATTTTATTTAGCTGATGTTTCAAGATCAAGTTTATATAGTTGCTCTCCACATTCATTGTGCTACCAGGGGCAAGCAACCGTTGAACTCTTTATAGTGTTAAGATTAAGCAAGTTGTTTGAATTCGTTATGGCCATAGGCTTACTACTGTTTTATTGCTGTTTTTAATTCTCATTATTTATCAGTTCTTAAGTGTTTCTTTTCTGTGGGACAGCATGCCAGACACACTGTTCCTTTCTCCTCCCAGGCACTTTTGAAAACATACTGGGTCTTCACACATAATAGTGTCCTTAGAGTTTGTACAGTGAGACAAACTTAAAGTTAGCCTGAAAACAGTTTTATTATGAAGCCTTCTGACAGTAATTCCAGGCCAAAGTTCAAGGCAGCTACACCTTATGCTGAATAGCGAGCTTAAATATATAATGTTATGGTGGACCTCTGAAGTTACTGAACCCAGTACAGTTGGATGCCCCTTCGAGGGACATTAAATGGCAGCAGCGTAGAAAATTTTGTAAATTGAAATACACTTTTTCAAATATTATGCAGAAGACAAGAATTGCCAAGTAATGAAAGAGATGTTCTTGTACTGGCACTATAGAACACATAATTATACCCGTTTGAGTTAATGTTAAGTTTTGTGGGTTTTTAAAATAAATATATTTATTTTTATTTATTTTATTTTTGGCTGCATTGGGTCTCCGTTGCTGCGCGCGGGCTTTCTCTAGTTGCAGCGAGCGGGGGCTACCCTTCATTGTGGTGTGCAGGCTTCTTATTGCAGTGGCTTCTCTTGTTGCAGGCTCTAGGCACGTGGGCTTCAGTAGTTGTGGCTTGCGGGCTTTAGAGTGCAGGCTCAGTAGTTGTGGTGCATGGGTTTAGTTGCTCCGCAGCATGTCGGATCTTCCCAGACCAGGGATCGAACCCGTGTCCCCTGCATTGGCAGGCAGATTCTTAACCACTGTGCCACCAGGGAAGTCCCTAATGTTAAGTTTTAATTCCTTAGAAATAAAGAAGCACTGAGAGTTGATAACAGTTTTATTTTTTCCATTCTTGAAAATGTTACAATAATAAATCCTTAAGACTGGTAGGTTTATATTATATTGTTGCTATTTACATTAGAAAATCTCACTATTAACACTTTCATGATCTATTGTAAATATGTTGGGCAGCCTGTATGTCAAAGAGGTGTGGTTCCAAATGGTAGTGAACTTTTCAGATAGCACTTGCTGCTACAAACCACAGAATCAGTACACTATCTTTTCAGTCATATCTACATACAGGGATGATAACTCACTACTTATAACTTAAGGTGAATAAACTAAGATGGTTATCATAAAGAGAAGGGAGCGTGTCAGTTTGTTCTCAGTATAATAGTAGTCTTTTTCTAAAGGAGTGAAATAATTTTCCCACCTGATCCCTGTGAATTCTGATAATGCTTACTAGTAATACAGACATGGGCAAAGAGTCAAATCATATAATCAAACAATTTTATTAAGTTAACTTTGCTTTCCAAATAAGGATATGTTATATAGTAACAGATTTGCTTACACCTGATAAGTATGTGTATTTTTCTAGGATTTAATTCAATAGTTATTGGCTGGTGGTTGAAATAAGAGATGAGTTATTTAATCCTGGCTCAAAACTAGTTCTCTACCTTATTTTCCTGCAATTTGTTTTTTTATTCCCAGATTTTATCCTTTATTATTTTGCCTCTTCTTACCTTTTTAGTTTCCACACATACCTATTAACTTGAAATTTTTTCCTATGAGTTTTGAAAGCCTACACTTTATGATTTTTGTTATTCTCTTTGCCATCTGAGTTGTAGATTTGCGACTTTTTTCTTAATTTCTACCTGTAAGCTCACTTCAAGCAAATTGTGATGTTTTTGAGCCTTCTTATTACATAAATACTAGACCACATAACATGTTTAAATGATTGTTCTTGTAGCCTGCTTGACTAAAGTTTTCATCTACAACTCCCTAAAGCTACTTTCTCTCTAAAAGAAATTAAGTATGGAACATAAACTACATTCATTTTTAACTCTTGACCTTTGTTCTTAAAAGTCAATAATTTGATATTGTCTTAAGAGTTTAAAGTACTATAATTTGACTTCTCCCAACTTTAGCTTGATCAGTGACAGATATAATTTACTTTTGTGGTCTACTTGTGCAATTAACTTCACTAATCTGCCTTCTACATGAAAGAAGTTCCATACTGGTATAAAATATCACCTTACAGTCTGAGTTAGAAGTTTAACTAACTGCAGATTCACTTTGTTGTCTTGGCCCTCACTGGGGAGGGCAGCTATGGGATTTAAAGGGTTTTTTT